CCGCAATTTTGCTTAAAATCAAGATCTTACAGCATAACTAAGGGAAACTCCCGAAAAATAAAAAAAAATGAAAATTAAATATTTGGTATACTTTGGTACTTACAAGTTTTCGCGAAAAGGTAAATTTGCCCATATCTTTTTATCGTGTTGATGCAGGATGTTTATATACGTAATAGGGACTGTAAACCTCAGTATCTGATATAAATTTTAACTTGCTAGGCCCATCCGTTCCTCAGAAAATCGGCAGTGATACACGGACGGACAGACGAACGAGAGAGTGATCTTATAAGGGTTCCTTTTTTACCTTATAAGGTACGGTACCCTAAAAAACGAAATGTCTATGATATTATTATTATTATTGGTGTCCACCAACACATGGTTAAGTAATTAAACAGACAAATTCAGTAACAGATAAATAGGTTTCTAATACTGTGGCGAGATTACAATTTTGAGTATTATATTATTGTGGGAGAGATATAATGGGAATATGGAACGAAGTACATGCTATTGTATGTCGTTTATTCTATTTAGTCTAATATCGTGTACGGATGCTGTTCGAAACCGGGAACATTAAACAAAATTAAACTTGATAAAACACGTAAAACAGTTTTATTGAACCACATGTAGAGCCTGCGTAAGTTCAAGAAATCATTACAATACTTGTTGAGATCAGTATACTATTTGATAGTTTATATGATACATATTTGTTGATAAAAACCGAAAAACATTTCTGTTGTTTCTACTTCAACGATAAAATAAAAATAGTGCAAAAAAGCACGAGAGAAAAATAGCACGCGTCAGAACTGATTGAGTACAAACGCGAGTGAGTATTTTTGAAACTGTTATTATTTTTATTGGTACACATCAGCCAACAATTTACAAGAGAAATAGGAGATTTTAATCTCGCGACGCGATTATGTTACAGATAACCGTATCGAGGAATCGCAATCCGTCAGTCTGTTACCGCAATATCGTGATGGATTTGCAAACGCGCTCCCTCGGAATTATCTAGCCGGATGCGTTTGATAGGACTACGCCTGTGTTGTTTCGAACCAATGCCAGATGCGCAATACACAACGCACACGAAAAATTAAATGAAGTTGAAGTTATGAAGTTAACATTTTATTTTTAACTCTCTTTAAAGAATAACTGGGAGACCGTCACAAATGCCATTAGGTTGGGGTAGAGTTTTTGTATGCTAATGTCAATGACCAATTATTTCAATAATTACATCAATCGCAGTCAACCATTAGATTCATTAAAGAGCCAACCAAAAGTTAAAACAACACTATAATACACATTAAAATGCCCTCGACTCGGATACGTTGTACTCCGCTAATCTCGAGTGGAAAGAGCTAAAGCATGTCGGGGCGTGCTATCGCGCAATCTGTTTCACTTTGGGGGGCGGCTTAATAATTACAAGTGGCCATTCCTTCCAATTAAGAGGCCCCGGGCGATAAATCGCGGGGGTTGTCGCGGCGCGTGAACACGCCACGCCGCTGCAGGAGCCACGGCGGAGTTTCTTCTTAACGGTTTAATAAAGCGCTCCGGCGTCGGTGTAATAAACAAGTCGCGTTGCACGCACCGCCTTAATTAAAGCGGGCACTTTCAGACGTGAAACGGCGCGAGCTCCGGAGTGGGGGGCGAACGCAAATTTATGCCGAACGGAGGTTTTTTTCGGCGTCTATTAAATAAAGGAGCCGCGGAGAATGCTAAACAAGGCTGAGCGGCGCTCGGCGAGTTTTCCACTCGAAGCGCTCGGAGGGCGGCGTGGGGGCGCCGCGGGAATCAGATAGGGCGGGGAGGGCTAGTCGAGACGCCCGTAATGGACCGGCTCCAAGCGGTTTTTGCGAGATCCCGCGGTAAATTGAATATTAGCCGCGATTTGCGCGCGAACGGACCGGCGGCTGCGATAAATCCGCGGCTGTTGTGCGCCGGAACAGATCTCGTTCTAACAGTTGTCGTCTTTCAATTACGTCACAGCTATGCCAGGGTTGTTTGAATCTATTATAGTAGAGCGTTTATAAACAGCGTTGTTAACGCAGATAGAAGAGTGGATATTCGCGAAAGAATTTTATAAGAACCTAAAAGAACCTAAAAGAAGCCCCAGCAGCCCCTTCTCTGGGAGAAAATCCCCACCACGAGCTATCCCTGGGACTTGAGGATTTCGAGAGCCGGCGACGGCACTTTACTAGACTGCCAAGCGCGCCATATCGGGGTCACGGTGCGTTTCCAAACGTGGTCAGGTTACGAAACAAAACCTCTTTGGTAATATAAGCCCGCGCATAAACGCCGCTGGATTTGGTAACCTCTCGCAGTTCGAAGTCATCGAGCGTGTGAATCTATGTACTGGCCATGAAACCATATATGAATTGAAGGCGGACGCCTGTTCTACTGGAAGTGAAATGTCCGCAAAAGATAAAATAAACTATGGCTAAGGTGCTGCTTTAAATTTTTTTTGTAATGGAAAAGTAGGCAATCGAGCAGACAGTTCACGTGATGTGTTTACCACCATGGACACTCGCAACACTAGAGGGGTTGCTCGCAACACAAACGCACTGCCACTCTCTGCGGTAGAAATAGGCCCTTTTCTTGAAGGTTCATAAGTCGTATCGGTCCGGAAATGGCTGGCGCAATTGATTCCACGACTAGATTGTGCGTGGCAGGAAATTGCAAGAAAAACTCACGGTGGCGAATAAAACAGCGGTTTAACAAACATCTCATATTCCATCCTGCTAAGTCACATACTCGACCCGTTGTGGGGCGTAAAATTCAATTGCATCGAATGCAAATATCTTCACACTGTTCGGTGACAATGAGAATGGCTTATCCGTAGATGCCGACTAAGCTAACGAATAGTAATAATAATACGCCGAGGTTCAGGCTAGTGCGCCAGGCCACCTCAAGTCCGTTAGAACTGTAAAGGCCCTTAAGGCCAACAGTGGCTCATCCAGCCCAAAAAAAAAGCTAACGAGGTTGTCAACGCTTGCGAAGCTGACGTGCACTGTTTTGACATAAAGCGTGGCAAGCGACAAAAGCGGGCGATACGCGAACTCCGCGAAGTAGGTTAGTCAACAGACTGTTACGAGGTGACTGTGCGCGATATCGATTCGTATGCATACCGCTTGCAGTAAGCGACGGTAAGACGTAGGGCTGCCAATCGAATACTTGTTAATATTTTTTTTATTTGTATCTTTTTGAAATATAATTAAGGGCTGTGTTTAACTTAAAAATTAACCTAAAGAAATAAACGCTGATTTATTATCAGTAAAAGAACGCTTTACGGTGGTAGGGCCACGCAGCAGCCTCGGCTATTGCACAAATGTGCAAGCCCGTCCGGGTAAGTACCACGACCTCAAAGAAGACCAGCGTAAAGTGTAAGTATGACAAATACTTTCGCGTTTCGTCTGGTGAGTGAGGTAGCCGGAGCCCAATCTGCAAAAGGTTGTCAACGCATCTGTAACTCTCGGGTGTGGTAGATGTCCATGGGCGATCCATTTACATCAGGTGAACCGCCTGCTCGTTTGACAACTTTTCGCATAAAAAAAAAGAAGTTTTTTAGTGTAATACGTGTAAAAACAATAAAGCATTAGTATAATTCAATTACCTATGAGAATTAAACATGAAAGTGATTTAAATACTAAGCTGATTACCACACCGACGAATATCTCAAAGTATTTTGGTCTTTTTTTTTTTGCTTTTGGACAAAAACCCCTAAACGTATGACTGACTTAAAATTCTATTTAAATAACTACATCCGATTAAGCTTAAACTTAATACGCGAAAATTTACATCAACCAAAACTGAATAATACTCTTATGGTTTGTGAAAACCAAAAATACAATCCACCATATAGATACGTATTTTCAGATAATAAATACTACACACAGGTATATTTACAACATCCGCGGACTTGTGGATGTTCACGATGGTCTTCGCTTACCATCAGTGAACAGATTGCCTTCCATAATCCATTTAAAAAAAATACCAATTACTCTCCAAGCAGAGCCCTTCGCGGTCTACCAGGGCGCCAGTTTTTAGAATGCTTGCTATCCCGAGGGATGGTGGATCGGAATGAACTCGTCAATGTCCATCAACCCTGATACGCGTTCAGCGGAGCGGCAGGGGTGGGTCGACCCCCCGCCATAGAGCACTACCCGACGTTGCCAACACCTCGCAAACATACGCCGCTGCACTCCAACGCAGGGTTGCCGATTTTCCATTGTACAAAGTCGAAGTAATTTTCATCTTATTTGTACTCAAGTTAAACACATAAAATGTAAGGCTTTACTGAGAAATAAAATATAAATAATAATACTAATAAACTTTATTTAAGCCCCAATTAAAAAAATATGTTTTAAACAAACGATTGCCTCAATCACAAAATGGTATTTAAAAAGTGGTATCAATCCAATCCTAACCCCATAACTCGTAACAATATCAATCATGTTAGTGGGCAAAATAAATGATAGGTAAACTAAATTTTGGTTACACACGAACTATTTAAAGAATAAATTTAAATTTGAATATCGGTGGCAGCCCTAGCGAGCGGGTGCTCAACTCGCACCGCCCTCTTGTTTCAGGCAGCGCTGTGTTATGAAATCAACGTGTTCGAGCGCGACACTCGAGCTTCGCGCACTCAGATGGAGGGAGCCGTATGTGGGGTAATTTTTCAAAGCGAAACCCGGTCGGAATACAACTGTATGTGTGCCGATATAGTTTCTACGGCTTACGGCTGTTACTACGAACAGATTACTGATATAATATTGAACTGAACGAAGTTATAAAGCGCAGAATTGGTACATTGTTACAAACTCTAGTTTGGTAAACATCAATAAGGTTTACTATAGATAATAGTTATGGATGCATGCTAGTCACTAGTTTGATGTAATATAATTGATCTGGAGGAAATTAAAAAGTTGAAATATTTTGTACGTATGCAAAAATTAAAACAATACAAATATTCATTACAAGAAGTGAAATCAATTAAATTTACTTACATGTCTCTCTTCCGCTGAACTGATACCTGAAATGTAGAGGTGTTTTTATTATATTTGAGGGTAAATAACTTTAAAAGACTTCAACAAAGGAGGTTCTTAATTGGTCAAATAATATTTCTACACGTGTTCAATTAATGCTGCATCGTATAATTGAGGCCAAGGTCCGAAGGGATCGAAGAAAGTCAACAAAAAATCTAACTTATATATGTGAAGACATGACGCAAGACGCGAACGTATGCGAAAACTTATGTCAAGCGATTTTATATAGTGCATCGATTCGTTGGGTCTTTTATACTGATATTACCTAACAAACTTCATGTGTCGACCGAACGCGCCGTGTCGAATATAATCTCGGGATGCGGAACACCGGTACCCGGCGATAGCTACAAGGGAAGTCGACCTCGCGTGCTGGGGTCCCCATGAATATTGCAGAGGTCGTTTCCACTCGCGCGTACTCGCCCCTGCCACCCCTGCCACCACCGCTTGCCGATTGATACCCAAATTGTGTAGCAACTACATCAACGTTGTAAAGAGCTTAAGAGACTGAATTATTGAAGGGTTTGCGAGTGATAATTAAGATGTTATTCCAAATAGTGCTCAAGAAATTTAAATAACGAAGCCCTTGATTTTGGTTGTTAGTTAGATTTCAATTGGTTGTTATATAATCTGTAGTTAATTATGTTAGATTAAATGCGTTTTTTTTTGTTACGTATTCGATCTACGTTATAAATTATTCACCTTTTTTTAATTAACATGTGTTTTGAAATAAGTTTGTTTAAATCTGTATATATAATTTTCCTCTTTCCCTACGTTTTTACAACACTTACGTTAATACGATAATATTGATTTTAAAAAATACTGGTTTGTCACTTAGGGAGTAAGGAAATAAACGAAAGAAGATTCTCAGGATTATAGCTCTTAAATTTATTTAACAGATAACGAAACAAAATTAACTCTAAAATTCAGTCATCATTATCAAATTTTTGTGTCTCGGTTGTACATTGGCTTCAACATCATGATTATTTTATTCAGTGTTGGCTTCAAATGACGTCACATAAACTTTTTTCTGAAACAAGAAAACGAAAAAAATATTTACTGCAAAAAACTACTATTTAAAAAAAATGTATGACACAAAGTAATACATATGCTGCGACAATTTTAAATCATTTAATATCGTAAGATGTGATGGCAAATCTTTCACCGAGATTGCCTTGAACTGTTTTTTAGGCAAATATTGGAATGTGTACAAGTAGTAAATCAAAATAAATGTATAAATTCTAGTTTACATGTGTATTTATACAATGTCCAATACAAATAAAATAATAGAGGGCATCATGGACAAATTACTGAATAGATTGCAATTAATTCTTCTATGTCGTCTTTCTTATACAATTAGCCCTCATCTTTAAAAATACTGCGATATCTTCATTTAATAAAAAGTAAATAAGTTTTAAGAAACAACTAGGTACTTTCTCTCTGGGGAGAAGTGAGGCAATTGATGAAATTGTTAATAATTAGCAGTACAGAGGACGTCAACACGGATATTATAGTAATAGTAGTAAAATTGTGATGGAGGTTAAGTTACTACTTAAGTAATTAAGTAAGTATGGAATAACTAACAAAACAGTTTCACTATATCGTCGCATTGACCTCACATGTATGTTTGTAATGCTATCCAAACTTATTACCTAATACACGAGACACATGGCTATAGCTATCTATATACGTGTTCCGTCAAAGGCATTAGGCGATTGCGAGCGGGCTAATTGTGCGAGAGTCGTGTGATTATCTCGGGATACATACATATGAAGCGGGCGGCTTCGCCCCCGCACTATCTGTGCGATTAATTTAAACGCAATAGCATCAATTAACGGCGAACGGTGGAGCCGGTGGCACTATCCGGGCCTAGCAGTGTCGCGCAATTAAATCCGACGTCTAATGTGAATGTCGCAGCGGTCGGAGGTGGCGCATTATGCAGATTGTCCGCACTGCACGGCCGTTTGTGTTTGTGGCATAGTTTCGATGTGAAACTCGCATATTGATAGATTATCGTTCTCTATTAGAGGAAAAGAAACAACTGCTTCGATGCTTCGCCCTTGTTATAACGGAGATTAATGTAAATACATATAGGAAACAACAAGGAATAAATATGATATAAAATAAAAATGCGCAAGTCTACCGTTAAACTTCATTTTGCTTGTTCAGCGAAGTATTACGTATTGATATGTCGCAATTATTAAATATAATAATAAGCCGTGTATTTTTTATTAAATGTGATTATAATACTTAGTGTTTTCTTTTCATGTTGGTTGCATGAATAAATTATTAAGGAAACATAAAATTTGACGAATCATGAAGAGGAATGTTAATAATACAATGAATTAGTGATAATCTGGTGCCAGCGAGTAATTACGATGGAGCGTCGCCCACTTCACACGAAATGACACACGCGTATAAGAACAAAAACGCTACTGTGGTGGGTAATGAGAGCGAAAAACGGGCGCGCTGATGGCATCGGGTCACGAGGACGATCGCCCGCGCAACACACCTAGCCCATTATCCTCGCAATTGCGAGCGCCGTCGGCCATTAATCATATTAATCCCCGCATGTATAATTCGGCGAGCGCTAAAGCGCCGCCCGAGTCCGGAGCGTCGAGGCGGGCGGCGCGCACTCAAGTCACCCGCAAAATTACGTTACTAATTGACTAAAACACGCGACGCTCACACCAGCGAGGAATAATTAATTGAGCGCCGGCTAGGTGTGGAGCCTGGGTGGAGGGAGGGGGAGGGGGCAAGGGGCCGCAGAGGGGGAGGGCATCTGCGCGGTAACTCTTACATCAGTACACCGATAATGGCACAAATTAGCCGGGGAAGTGGCGGGCGGGGTGGGGCGCGGGGGTGGCGGAGGGGGGGGGGGGGGGACGAGTTTCGCTAAGCCGGAACATCCCGGGGCGCAGATTACCGCTTGCTTTTGTAATTAACCGGGGCGACGGGCGGCTTCCGAATCCATTTCTGTGTTACATTTTCATTTGCGGCCGGTCGCCGCTTCCCCGCCGCGCGGATCACCCCGACCGGATTCCCGTTGTTTACGCGCGCGACGACCGGTCCGCGACCGCGGGTTATTGTTACGGACCGTTTCGATCGTTGCTACGCGAGAGTGCGTAATTTACATGTAAGATGGATCGCGGGCAACCGCTGCGGCGGATCCTATTATCACCTCGCATCCACGACCTGTGTCGCTACAACGTTGCACGTTTAAATGTAATTGCGTGTTTAATAATTCCATACCTTTAATATTTATATCGTTGTTTATTAAGCAATCTTCTTTCAAGTCTTTGACAGCTCGGTCAACGTAAGCGTTCGTAAGCGTTGAGTATGGCTTCGACACCATGGCTCGTGGGTTCGAATAGTTCAAGGGAGATTTGTTTGTGTGACTAACAAATGCTTTTTTTATGTTTAGCCGTGTGAAACTTTGGTATGTAAACTTGAGTGTAAAGGAAACAACTCAGGATAACGCTTCAGCAAAAAAAAAAAAAAAGAGATAAGACTGAATTTTTATAAAAATTACAAAAATACAACAGATACATAACATCCTACTTTGCTCCATTACGTCCGAAAGTAGTTAAAGTTATAAAAAGAGTTTCTTTTTCGAATAAGCGTCAACCGTTAGAAATATCTCTGTCTAACCCTTAATGCAAGACGCTATACAAGAACGTTAATACGAGACGTGACAGCGTATATTTGTTTTATCTATGTGTGTACACACACTGCCACGTCGTCCGTCTGTTACCGCACATGTTTGTATGCCCCAGGTAAACATGCGGGTGGGTGAGCGACGATTTGAGGAAGTGAGTCACCCGCGCTCGAAGCAATACCTTCCGAGATAGCCGTCAGCGAACCGAGAGCACGCAAACACAGAGTTCAAAAAGCCTCTCGAAGATGGTAAATATTGGAACAGAAGTGGGATCCGGCGGGAGGGGAGGGCTCTAATAGCGCCCGTACCTGGCAACACAAACAGCGCTGGCTGACAACTACTTTAAATATTCACTCGGCGGCTATCGATCCGAAATAATTCAACGCTTCCCTTACTGCGAACACGTCATGGCGGCGACGTTTTCCCGCCAAGACGAATTCCCATTTGGATTTCACTTAGGAAAGTTTGGAATATCGAGACGAGCCATTTCTTCCCGAATTCCCGATCGATAAGTATAAAATATAATAATTGTTAGTTTCAATATGTAGAAAGTGATTTTATATAATTTTTAGTTAAATTCTATAACAATTAATGATTTAAGGGACCGAGAAAGGGAAACACGAAAACGAAAACAAAACCTATTTAAAATTTAGGAGTACAATGTATAAAGTAAATTTTGGAGTAAAATTCACTTAGGAGGCGGGATTTTTTGCTGCAAACCTTAAAATAGTTATCCACTTACGACCCTACTTAAGTAGGGTCTATCAAACGCGGAGACCTAGCCTTTCCACGACCCCTGTGTTTGATGCAGCTTTAATAATCTACAGACGACACAAACATCAATGAACAAAAAACATGAATGAGGAGTACTATCGTGTTGGTCCACTTAACATTCGACCCACCGCGTTTGGGTAGGGCCGCGCATGACCTCATGTGTCCGTTATTTTAAATGGGAAAAATGTCACCTGCGGGTCATCGAAGTTCGCTACGTAACACCCGATTGTCATTGATTGTATTAATCAGTGGTTGTGTCAGTGTTACGGCAAAACTGAACGACACTTCCGCAAGATAGATCGGTTCGCCAGGGGGCGCTCAATTTCTTTCTCATCATTACAACTCCAACGGCTTAAATGTAACTTTAAAACTTATCAACTCATAAATCCTATAACGTATGTATGTATTTTATTAGTACATACAGTCAGAGCTCTCTGGAAGGCAGGTGGTGTACCTCGTATACGCGTTGTGTTGCTTTCGCCGTGCTCGTAGACGAGAACGAGCTAATTTGTTACGTGTGTCAGCACTCCTCTGTTCCATGAAGCTTCAAAAGTCTAAAGACGGGTTTCAACTAATCGGTTGTGCGTTAGCACTTCTGCGTTCGATAAAGCTAAAAGTCTAAGGGCTGGAAGCAAAAACATCAGTTAAATAAAACTACCCTTTACCAAGTACACTGTACGCAGCAGGATTTGATAGATACCAAAAATTGTGCTGTGGAAGTGGCTAAGTTCTGCGCCGGTAAGATATGATTTGTCGTGGACACGTAAAGAGAGAAGAGTAGACCTACCGTTTCCCTTGTCGTCGGGCCGGTGGATCTCGGGCGGCTTCGCGAGCACCGAGAGGGGGTGGTGGGGCACGCCGAGGCCGAGCAGCCCCGCCGGGGGCAGCGCACCCTGGCCCAGCAGCGGCAGCGGGGGCGCCCCGTGCGCCGGCAGGTGCGCAGCGTGCATCTGCTGCAGCAGCCGCGGCAGGTCCGGCCGCTGTTGCTGAACACCAAGTGGAGAAGGCAACCGTTAGATTGGAGCATAGGAATTGTGTAAATGATTCTTTAATGACATGTTGTTACACAACGCATGTATAATTATCTAGTCCAAAGTAAGCAAAGCTTGTGCTGTGGGTGCCATATATAACTGATAAATTATGAAACATTTTTTTTATGGAAAAGAAGTAATCAATTGATGTTTTGGGTACTTTTCAATTAGGAATTTATCTAATTAGCCCTCATGCAAGGCGCGGTCAACTGACAAGACATCTTTAATGTCATTTAATATTGTTATATTAGTTTGGACTCAATTTATTTATACTAAAAAACCACTCATTTTATGAGCTCCTTTTTTATGATTCTATATTTTATGACGACCGGTATTACGCTGTTCGTAAGTAATTACCAAAAACTTCACAATAAAAACAGAACCATTAACCTTTTTATACTTACAACACGGGGCAAAAAGATCTACTCTCATATATGTATACGTAATACCTATTCCTCTAGATTGGCAATGAAAATCTAAAAACGGAATCGAGACATCGCGCATAATTCGCGAGCGGTCAGAGAACGTGTCGCATGGGGGACATGCATTTTTAAACCGGCCGAATTAAAAAGTCCTCCGGGCGCGGCGCGGCGCCATTTTAAATTCAAATGAGAGCCCCGCAGCCGGTGGCGTGGGCCGAAATTGATTACTCCTTGTGCATTACTCCCCTTTTTCCACTGCGCTCGCTCGCTTCCCTCGCTATCTCGTCGCGTTTAACTTTATTAATACGCCGTCGGCGATCGGTTCTTGTTACTTTATCGCTTCCGCTGCGGCGCGGCCGGCGTTCGCTACTTGGTCGTGTTCGAGCCGGGCGGGTTTTTTCGCCGGGACGAAAATTAATTGGTTTTTCGTCGAGGGTCGGAGCGTATTTTTTACCGGCCGCACGACGGTGCCCTGATTTATTATGTGTCAAAGGTGCTGAGCGCCACTTAGCCGGAGTGCGTTCTCGCCGAGGGGATTTATGAATGAAGTTAGCGGCGAGACGAATGTTTTCTGACGGTGATGCAAAAATTTTCTTTATTAATTAGAGGTCTGCCCTAATAGCAGCTGTGCGGTCGGGGCATTTGTTTTTGTAGTAGTACTTCTTTTGGCGCGTTTGGAAAAAAATATTACATGATGAAGTTTGTTGCAAAGCGACCAGCTTCACGTTATAAGGTAGAAGTGAAGTTAGTAACAGTTATCGAATGCATTTTATGTCCTTTTTAAAAACAAGATGTACTGGCACAGGGGATAAAATTTTTCTGTATTCACGCTAAAGATGTATAATTTCTTACGTGCATACATGCACATATATTTTTTTAATATATTTCAAAAGTAGTGCCGGTTACTTCGGTGTATACTGCTTCACCGCCGAGCACAGGGTTAATCATCACGTAAAACTTTAATTAGCTCTTGATTCCAGGTTGCTCGATTACAAGTTATTGAAAGCGATCGCTCTACCCGTTACAGCGCTACCACGATCCGTTATATAGGACACTGATATTTGCAGGCGGTGCTTGTCACGTTTTAATAATAAAAACACAGAACCGGTTACCGGTGGTTCCATCATTAGGACAAGATAAAGCTGCCATCAAATCAACGACGTCTGCATGTCACGCGTGGCGCACAAATCGCATCGTTCGGTATAAATTATTGAATGGGGGACCCTTGGAGTCGCCGCGAGAGGCATAGAGACGGGCAACTGCGAAACCCCGGGAGGAATCTTAACTAGAGTGGAGACAAAGCCGGGGCACGTTGCGACACGAGCCGCCGTGAGCGGGACCCCCGCCCCGACCACCCCGCCCACCCCGCGCCTGTTATGAATGACAATATCAAGGCGTGTTGATATTCCACCGCGACACTTTTCCGCTTGCATACTTTGGTGTGATTAAATGTATGTGCCGGTCTCTTGGGTGCGAGGTATTGTAAAAACCCAACGGTCACGCTATTCTCTCGCAAATTTTGAAAGACTGATGCCTAGTCTAGAATATTGTTTATTTTGCATGTTTGATATAGAATGGCGAAATGCGAAAGTTTTGCTGTTGTCTTCTCAATGATTTCTTACATTTACGCAAACACTAGGTATTGAAAATTAAACAATTTAGACGTAAAATTTTATGGAAAAAAGAATATTTACAATAATAATATGAGTCGGTTCATATTATGCATTTGCCGTTGAAACCAAAGGTCTCCGCACATCAAATGTTTTTTTAAAGATAAAAAACCACAGTTGATAGGAGCTCGAATCCCAGGAAGCAGTTACTACTAACGACTGTTTTGTGTATCATCTTTGGTTAAAGCCACGCAAACTTCTTTTTACTCAATGATTGATACATTTTAGGTTTCCTTCCAAACGTGAAGAATAACTGGAAAGAATACAACCCCCCCCCCCCCCCCCCCCCCGCACGTACAATGTAATCTTATTACAACGCGGGAGAGTGGCGGACGGGCAGACGTGCTCTGTCTTGAAAGCTTTTGTCACGGCGAAAATTCGACGCGTTCTGGTTTTCGCGCCGCGTTTTCTGCCTGAGCGGCGCCAGATTATTCTTTACTTTGCCAAGAGCATATAAATGTGTTCTAATACCTTAAACGAGTTGATCATTCTGTAAGCCACAAAACCGGATTTAATTTTCCATGCTCTATAAACTAAACGCAAGGGCTTCAAGCTAAAGATAATTGAAACATATATTTTTTATGCCGCTTATTTTAAATAGCATTAATCCAAGTGTACATTTTTGTTTGTAGGCTTGCACTTGGACGGAAAGCGAAATATGGAAACACTAGGGTTGTTCCGTGCGATTTCATTCGCGAGAAACAAAATAGAGCGTGATGTTAATTATAATCTTCCTTATTAAATCCTATAATCCTTTACTCTTCCTCGAAAATTGGGCTATCAAATAACAAAACAATATTTCAATTTTGGTGGTCCAGAGATTAGGGCGTACAAACAAACTCTTCAGCTTTATTATATTGTAGTATAGATTTGTAGCGTAGGTCATAAAATAATCGTCTCCTGTGGCAAATTTATTACGTCGTGTTGTAACAGAGGGAAAGGAATCGTGAAGCAATCGGATTGACCGAGTAAATAGGTGCAAATCGATTTAGCAATCGCCAAGTCAAAGAAAACAGCTGAAAGTAATATATGGGCACGCAATTAGCCACGTGTGGAGGCACTATCGAGAGTGCGGAAGTTTAACTCGAACGCGGATAATTAAAAGCGGTTTGAGGTTACAGGCGCATTAAAGGCAATTATGTTCGGTTGTCTTAAACACGAGCGAGATGTATTTCGCATGGTTGAACTCTCACTTGATTATTATCAATTCCGCGCAACACCCACATAATAACGCGCTGTGAAGTTAAAAGTTTTACCGATCTTACAAAAATCGTGTATGCCCCTCATTTCAATTCTACGTGAACATGTAAATTAAGTATTTGTTTTCTTGAACATTTAAATTAATTTCTGGTGTAATTTAATGTATTAAGCGATTTGGCAAAATGTGTTAAAAACCGTTATAAATTTTATTGTCATTATATTTCATTTGTTACCACATTATCTCTCTCTAGCATTGTGTTATCCTTTATGTCAGAGTCACCTTTATATGCGTTAAAGATATTTATAAAACAGTCTTTCTTTTCCCGCTCAAGATTAAGTATGACCATTCAGAAATGCAGCTAAGGTTCTTGGCACTATGCCGCAAGTTGTTAGATAATTTAAGATTCACAATTTGATTGAGAGATTGACGAGTTCTGAAGTAAAAATATATTAAAATTGTTGAACAGTAAATGTCACGGATAATATAATACTCACAGCAATGAAAAGAAAAGTCGAGGTACATATATTAGATTTGAATAAAACAATCGAAATTTTGTTAAGATATTAAAAAAATAGATATTTTAAATTCGATTTTAAAGTGTCAAAATCCAAGCAATTCATTTTTGCTGACACTGCGCTCCTAGCTCAAAACGAGTCACGACCCTTTTACAATCTGTACTACTACATTTATGAAGAAAAAACCCTACTTTAAATATTGCCAACATTCCGGGCTTAATCTGAAGAAAGTTAAAAGGTGCTTCGCTGGCTAAATCAAAATTCACGGCGCCGAGGCAATAGCAACCGAGTACAAGTGGCGAAACAGACCCGGCAAAGGCTAACCGAAGGCGGCGGGTTCGCAGCAAGGAGGGTTTTATCGAGGAGAGGTGTGCGGCCGGGGGGTGTGAGGGGTAAGGGGAGGCTCAGTCCTCACGCACCATTAGACGGGAAGCCTCGAGGCGGCACGCGACGTCGACACGTGTTACACTTTCAACGTAATTGCTTCTAATGACACAACGGCTGCGCTATCGTGAAATCTAAACAACGTTTGTCGAGTGAAGCCGCGCTTTAATGTATCAATACTGATATTATAAAGCGGTGATATACATTTTTAATTTCTGGAACTACTTGATACATGGCAAAAGTTTTTGTACCGATGAATAGCCACGTTTGAATAAAAGTAACTTTTTTGTGTTTTTAATTTAGTCATAAGAGAAATCTGATATTTGACCTTAATATGATGTAACTTCACATTGTGATAAAAATTTTAACATTCGGGATATAAACGTCAAAATATATGTAATATATTAGCATGGGGTATAATGCCAAGATTACTAAGACAGCGTTTGTTTCAGTACTTTACATTAACTCTCGTTATAATAATAATATATTTCAATACGAGCGCATCCAGATTTACCGCAAGTAAATTAGTCCACAGTAAAGAGTCCACATTTTTGAACTACGCAATTAATACGGCAGCACTATTTAAATATGTAATAGCGCACAAAAAATATTATCTATATAACATGGACGGCATTACTAACGTTATTGCCAGTCGATTGAATACAGACGACGAAGAAACGTTCGCAATTCAAAATTTATCACACGACCGCGTCGAGGAAAAATGGACAAATTCACGTTAGCCGCCCGGGTGCCACCAGGAGTT